CTCTCGCCCTGAGCCAAGGAAGTAACATTGTCTCTCCATTATGTCTGGAGGGCAGGGCATCAAACTAAAGAGGATTATTCTAGAGCTTTAGGATCTAAAGGAATTTGTATTGCCAGATTTTGGACTTACTTGGGAAGCAAGTCACATAGTTTCCAGTTAATGGGTAACTCACTGGCTCTCCTCTAGTGGCTCCACTCTGGGGAGCTCAGCCTCCAGGTAGGTAAGAATGGAAAACAGAAATGAGGGACTGGGAGAAAGAGGGGGTGGCAGGGAGAGAGAAAGAGCCAGAAGAATTAGCATGGAGCATCTCTTAGGTGGACACCATTTTCTCCTACACTCAAAGGACAGTCCTGATCAGTCATGCAACCTGTGGTAGTGTACTCTGGCAGTATAAACAGAATAAGGCAATGAGTTACAGTTGGAAAAAATGCCGAGAATAATTGGACAGAAAAATTAATCAATTTTTGCCTTTTAGGCAGCCATTTGTGTATCTCTTTAGTTTTCCTCTGAGACTTTCACTTATGTACACTCAGTCATTCATTCAAGATGTACACCATTATTGATTACATCCCAATCGTACATAGTAACTTACAAAAAAATGCAAAACAAATACAAGTCATGCTCCCCAACCACAAATGCAGTATTAAGTTAGAGTGATGTCATTACATACATGAAACCACTAAGTATTATGGAGACAAATTACAAATATATCCCACACGGACATTGTTGAGGTTCTAAACACATTGACTGCAGATGTGAGAGACAATGCCAAACAGGGAAAACAACAAATGCCTTTACTGAGGACAGAATTTGAGAGACCAGAAGCAGGGTGTGGCATGATGGATTAAGAACCAGGTTATAGTCAGGGCTGTGTAGATGTGCTGGAAGATGAAGTACCCTCACCCCAGAGGGAAGCAGACACCGCTAACCTTGAGCCAACCCTCACAGGACTCAACATGCAATGACTATCATTGTGGCCTCATGGCTAGCAGCTGCTTTTCAGGCTTCCTAGAGGCAGCCGGTGTGGGGAACATCCCAACCTGCAATTTCACCAGGCTGCTTTGTTTGGTTCAAGGCCACCCTTGCTAGCCAGAGGACCTTGTCATTCTCAGGAAGGCTAAACAGCACAGTCCACCTGAGGTCCCATCAGCCTGTGTGTGTCTTATGAAGCAAAGTGAGCAAGGAACTCATCTGTGGAGATGCTGAAATCCATGCTGAAAAGTGATCAGTTCTGCTTCAGCCTCTCCTCAAATGACTCCATTAGGGAATGGCTGCAGCTCAGAGCTAATTAGCTCGTAATGGGTGCAGAGCATCCTGGGATGCAGCCTGGAAGGTGTCTGGGGAGTGTGGATGGCCAGGCAAGGCCACAGGGCCTCTGTACAGCTGGCCTTGCTAGGATGATTATGCACATTTTGTCATCTTCTGTTATGAACAGGACTGATCTGGTCTGCACCCAGAGGAATGACTCTTATGACCATTCTAGAAGAGAGAACCCTCTTTTTCCTCAGAGCAGGCTTGTCAACAGCTTAGGTGGAGGGTCTGAGTCACAACTGCTGATAATCCTGTCTCTGCCAGGTCCTGTAACTTCAGTTGTTAAAAAGAAGAATATTAGCAGCTTCCTTGTGAGGATTAAATGGGACAGTGAGTACACAGGGTCCAGCATGTGGTGGGTGAGTCTCTGCTGTTAGATTTGGATACCTTCCCATCTCTAAGGGAGTAGAGTAGTCTCCAGGTTTCCAAAATCAATCCGTTTTTGTGTGTTGTTCCATAATATGACTCAGTGTTTGGGCATGTCTTGGTCTAGCAGGCAGACACAAGCTAGTTAAAATATGTCTCTTACGTTGAGTAGTTATCACTTCTTGGACATTTAGAATTTTATTTTAAAAAGAAGAAGAGACAACTGAAGGCACCACTTAGAATAGGCCCTTGGGACACACGGTGTGTAGAAATCAGATGCCTAGCTCCGCACAGTTACTTTAGAAGGAAAAGATACAGCTGTATCCCCAAGGAGTCAAGATTGATGCACATGAAGCAATTAGGGTGAAATGACAAACTATAAACCGTGAAGAGCAGACGCAGCCACGGGAAGCCATTGCAGCCACACAGGTGCGGGAGCAACCCCGTGTTTAAGTTGGGGTTGCTACACCAGCAGAACAGCTGATCGATTTCCTACTCATTTGCTGATGTGCCATGAGCTGCCCAGAGGGAGGAGAACAAAATTCATTCTTTTATCGAGAAAGGGAAACTTGCAGACGGAAATGTAGTAAATCCTACTCTGCCTTTAAGGTTCATCTCAAATGTCAGGAATTATTATTTTTTTTAATCCTTAAAACAGAAGAGAGACCAGACAAAGAGTGGGGGAAGGCCACATGCCAACAAAGACAGATGGGAATGATGGGGTCACTGGCTGCAGGAGGAAGCAGGAAGGGTCTTTCCCAGAGCCTCCAGAGGGAGAAAGATCCTGCCACACCTTCACCTCGAACCTCCTTCTGCTGCAGAG